AACAACAACAACAAAACCACTTAACTTATAAAATTAAAACTGTAAAGTGTTTTTTAACAACAACAACAACAAAACCACTTAACTTATAAAATTAAAACTGTAAAGTGTTTTTGAAAACAACAACAACAAAACCACTTAACTTATAAAATTAAAACTGTAAAATGTTTTCATGATATAACCGAGATGAGTATTAGTGAAAACAAGCTCATACAAGTTGTATTTGAAACGTTAACGCACACACAGAATGGACACAGCACGTACACGTATACATAATTATTTGTTATGCCTACATAGAAAAAAATTTCCAGTCATTGCATCTATTATCAAATCGTTTAAATGTAAGAAAAAAAGAGTATAATAAAAACATAAATGGAGAGACTTATGAAAATAACTGATGTGTTTAATATAATAAAAGCACATAAAATACACATTATATGTAGCATAAAACTTCATCGTCATAAAATAATGTACAAAATATGCAATGATAAAGAAATTCCAAAGTACATACCTAAGTTTATTAAACTTTTAGCATACATTAATGGTTCTGAACATGCAATTCTTAAACCATTTAAGACAGTTCCTCAATTACAGTTTTCATGCGAGATTGACAGTTGTGATTAGAAGTAAAAAGAACTGATTTTGAGTAACTAGTTATTCAACAACGGAAAGTCACTTGAAATAAAGTTTGATTTAGTCACAATCATTTATCGTAACATACTTTCATAATAAAACTCGTACACACGTCTGTTGTTCTGTGAATAAGCTTCTCATAAATTTCAAAGGCAATATTTAATACGATTGCTCCGGTAGAATCATAATACGACCTTGTAGCTGTGGTGAGAAATAGAAACTCATTCGAAGCATTATTCAATCACAGAAAATTTCCATTAAAATGCTACTTGGAGGAGTTATATAAGCTTTATAGAGTATAAATTTTAAACAAGATGCACGAATACGCATATAGAACTTTCCACTTTAAGTCAAAAGAATGCATAGAATGAATGGTATGTGGAACCTTTATAATAAAGATAAAGAAAAAACCTAGGTATGCCAGAACCTGAATAAAAGGTGAACTACATGCAGCTGCCAACGTAAAAGGCACGTGGAGTCTTACCACCCCGCGGCAGATGTGTAACGCATTTCTATTGCCCCTAAGTAAGCTTTCCTGTCATACGTCAGGGGCCGCGTCTCGGAGTATATAGACGCGTGTTATCATCAGTCTTCGTTAGTTTAGAAGCTAGACGCACCACGACTGTATTGAGTAGCGCTTTTTGTGCATGTGCTCTCGAGTGTAGCAACGAGCTCATAGCGTAGCGATAGTCACTAGATCTTTTTTCAAGTTTTTGAAAGGTTTAAGCCACAGTTATTCATTTATGAAACTGAACGGCGTAGGAACAACTGAAGTACTTATGGTTTTGGCTGATATAGCAATACGGAAACTTCCAATTGTATTATGATGGAATACAAATTTTGTCAGCCAAATCTTTTGGCTCTAGCAAGGACACTGGTCAGTTTTCTTTTATTGCTTCAGTCTGTTTCATGTTCCTTGGATAGTTTTGCGCCATCTGAACTAAACAGTGTGACAAATATGTTGAAAGAACTCAAGTCAGAAGTGGAGACTCTGCGTGAGGCCCGCCATCAAGATAAGGCTTTTATCAAAGTACTAGAACAACGTGTAAACTGGTTGGAGAGATCCACAGCTTCATCTCAACATCCTACTTTACAGCCTCCACTTGTCACTCCACCGCATTTGAAAATCCTCGACAAGTCGGAGTCTCATCATCATTATAAAGGGAGTTCGAAAGCACATCATCACCATCATGTCCGTGCTAGTCGTACACACGGGACGGTCCGTAGCCTCGAGAAGGAACATCGGGTTTTAGGCAGGTTGGAAAGTCAGCTTCGGCAGCTCCAACGAGATCTCGCCGAGATTGTAGCCGTCAAAGAAAGAGAGGTCGGTGTCACAGAAGAAGCTGGAGATTTGAGGCTGGAGACTGAGCTCCTCCGTACAGAAATCCGCCGACTCCAGCAGAATCTGAATAGCTTACGGGCCGACAGAGAGCATGACCAGGAGACTTTGGCTCCACTCCGTGTGAATCAAGCCACTAACAAATGGCTGCAAAAGACTGTTGAACATCTCCGATCAGAGATCGGGGAACTGGCGGCAACCCTGAACGTTTCGGCCTCACTGAACCGGTGGCACACCTTCGAGTCGACAGTTGCACTTCTAAAGTCTGATTTCGTTGCCCTTCAAAAAGAAGTTGAAGCACTTCAGGCGCTACATATGAAAGACGCAGCTTCAGTAGATCAGCTCCAAGAAGAAGTGAAGGATCTGAGAAGTCTGTCTCAAAAACTCTCCGTCAACTATCAGCACCTTTCTGAGGAGGTAAGAGGTTCTTGACTATTATTAGATCTTTAACTAGTGCTAGTTGGTAACACTCGCTACCGTAATAATGCTGAAGTACGCGTAGCAAGAATACAAATTTAAATACTCTCTACATGTCCTCCCCCCTTTTACACGTGATTTTAAATCACAACAACAAATGATGTTATCGTAGGAACTATTGGAGAATCGTTGGGACAAGTTAAGTGTTCATCTGCCTTTCTGCCACACAAATATTCATCGCTGCATAGGATTCATCTGAATATTTCTAGGTTTCTATTAATAATAATAAAAAAACAATAACTAGACAATAATAATAATATTGAATTAACACGAATTTTACTGACTAAAAAAGTATGTATTAGCATAGTGTTAGACAGATTATAACTTGTTTATTATGCTTATGGCAAGCAACTTGCGTTCTCACTGTACTTGCAATAAAGATTCAAGACTCAGTGAATCTTAATAACGAAGCTTGGGTGGTATTTAGTACCAGCTTTTACGTTTTGCACAAACTCGAATACTATAATCTGCTAGTCACCTCAGGTGGTTTAGAAAAATAGCATTATACCAAAGTCCTTAAAATGATATCACACACGGTGATTTAATCTCCCATAGGTATAGTCTGGGCTGATAATCTATATTTAATAATTTGTAATCTCTAACTCTTTGTTCAAGTAGCTCATTTTCCTCGGTAAAGAAGCAATAAAGAAAGTATTTACAAGTTTGTCAATAGATGGCAGCACATGGCTAGCAAAATTGTTTTTCATTTGTATTTTACCTTTGTGATAGAGAATAGCATTTTGAAGATTACATTTCACTTTTCAAAATATACATATAACGAATCAACGTAATACGTTTATTATGTTTCAACATTTTGTATCAAGTTTGAAGTTTCATCAGCTTTGCTTGCACGGACACTACTGGTAAAAGGTTTGGAAGAAACAAATGATGTACGGAAACATTGGAATGTTAATAATATTATTCATTCTTCTTTAATCTAATTCCTGAATTACTAAAATCTTTACCTCCATGAACGGATAACTGTATCCTCTTTATAAGAATACTACAGACATTGCTGAGAAAGTTGTCTCATAAATGTACTGGCATCCCAGTATATCCTCCTTGTACTGGGAAAGCTGTAAAACAGGGAAGGGTATACATACGTGTGTTGCCTCATAAGTCAACTAAGGGAAGTTTAATATTAAATATACTGATTTTTTTCAGAACAGGTAGTTACTTTTGTATTCTAATTATCTAAATTGCTTTAAAGTGTAATATTTCCCAAGATTTAAAGAGATGCTCAAATATGACCCTTTTACTGCCATTACTGTATGACGGAGTAAAACATTGGCTCTCCATTTCACATCAAAATAGTTTCCTACCAAAACATATGTTGTGTTAAACGTTGGGATACTGACTGCAATTATTTATCCACTGAAGAATTTACCAGGTTTTTACTTGTATCATGAAGACAAAAAACGAAAAGAAAAAACAACAACATTATTTGTAATTCTTTTAGTACGTCATATTTGTTGTTTTGGTACATCAATTGAGCAGACTGCTCATTAGAATTGTTCACATAACTTGAAAAATGAAACATTTATCTGTTCACAAAAATCAATATATTCAATACATGAGTACCTTAAGTTCAGTTATAAGGTAACACACTCACCAGTAGTATAGCTTTACCAGTAAACGGAGGACAAATTGGACTGCTAGAACACTTATGAAACGATGTTTGCAGCAACATTTTAAAAAGAAGCCAGTTATTTGTTCAGGGACACAGATATATTAGTAATTCAAGGATAAGAGATCAATGAACAAGATTCTACTCACCCCAGTCCTTCTGTCTTCATTTGTTGTTCTAAACTTTTGAACTGTAAATATACTGGCTTCTGGAGACCATAACGACCTACTTTCGGAAGTAAATCACTCCTTGGAAGTACGACCAACTATAACATTCCTGTCCAGCATGACAGTTTATATCTTTGTAAGCAATACTGTCATCTTGGCATTCCAATACATGTTTTGGTTTGTATTATGACCAGCTCTGACTTACGCAAGTGAGAGATAGGACCCTAAATAATTTACAAAGCATTTGCTCACTCAGTGTAGAAAACGTGTGACTAAAGAAGAACACATACTAAACTTGTTTTGATCTTATCAAACTTAGAGTTTCTGATCCGAATAATAGTTATAAGTAATATTTGGAATACCACGCATTCTATTGTAACTCACTCATTATGCTCTTCAAGTTTTTCATCCAATTAAACAACAATGTAGCCGGAGGTTAGTTTCGCCGTCGTCTCTTGGCATCAGAGGGCGCCTAAAGCACTTACATAGACACATGACTAATATAAAAAATAAATCTTTATAGAATTAATAACGACTAAACATTGCGTCAACCGCCTCTCAATCTGTGTACGTGTTCATCATTTTACTGTAAATAACTCCTAAGCGCAGTGTGAATTTACTTCTGATTTAGGGTTAATTTTTATTTTCACTTGGTGTTCCACTTGTATTCATCATGATTGGTCCATTAATACATTACTGTAATTTTTTCAGTTAAGTTACAAATAATATCAAATCTGTACAAGATATACTTGCGCAAAATCCCCAAAGTGTTCTCTTTCAAGAGTAAATTAAACCAAAATTAAGAGTAACAAGTATTTTTTCATTTCCTTTCAAGTTCTTATGTCATGTTGTGTTGTCGCCTACAGAATGCATAATTCGTCTCGTGATTCTGGCATGCACATGTTTTACTTACGTCACGACGGTACAAATTTCAACGTTAAGCGTCCCTTATGTGACGTCATTCTTGTGTCTATTGACTGACTGACAACACATTATTATATAGTGGTGCGAGTGGTTAAAACAGGCGACCTTCGTCCCCCTTTCGGGGAAATTAGTCCAATTACATATATATTCTACGTATTCAAACTACAATCAAATGAAAGGAAACTAGAGTTACGACTAACCCGTTTCTAAGCAAAATATATTTTTTAATTTTCTAATAATGCTGGCATTCCCAAAAATCTGTTTGAGCTAGGCTTTACGTAAATGATCAATCTTACTAATTACTTTCAAAGATTGATTATGATTTTTAATTCAATGTTTACAGAAATAAAACTTCTTACCGTTTCATGGTAATTTACATACAGTTTTTAATAATTACACTACGAAGTTTTACATCGGTTTAACAACTCGATATTACCAATTTCACTCAAACACCGAAACAACGGAGAATTTTAGGAGACAGAGTGAATAGTCTTAAAAATGTAGCGTAAAGATGACATTACACGAACACATATGAAACAGTTGCAAACTTCTGGATGAAATAAAAGCAGCTACGTACTGTCTACGGGTCTGGTGCAAATTTGAAACACACACACAGATGCAAAACATAAAGTCTGCATTGTTATATTTCCAGGTTTCAACAACAAGGTTAAAATTTTGGCTGACTCGATTGATAATAATTAGTTCTAAAAGCCTTAAAGCAATAACTACAAAACTAACTAAATACATTATGGTTGCAAAAATCTAAGTACCTTACCAAGTTATTATTTGATCAGAATTACAAGGGTTTTAACTTCATAATAAGTTATTTTATTGAGGATTCTCGGGTACATGAATACAGTTGAAGATTAAAGTTAGAAAAAAAAGTATACTTAGTATGTTAATTATTAAAAATAAACAATCTGAAAATTCAAAATGTATTCATCTACATTGCAAGTTTATTGAAATTCCACCAAAAATTATTTAAACCAGATTGGTTACACAAAACACAGAATAACAACACTTTAGTGGTTGGTTCCATTCGGAGTTACATTTAGCACGAAAAGTACAAACGTTGTAAATACATATAGAGTACGAAAAGTACAAACGTTGTAAATACATATAGAGTACGAAGTACAAACGTTGTAAATACATACAGAGTACGAAGTAGAAATGTTGTAAATACATACAGAGTACGAAGTAGAAATGTTGTAAATACATACAGAGTACGAAAAGTACAAACGTTGTAAATACATACAGAGTACGAAAAGTACAAACGTTGTAAATACATACAGAGTACGAAAAGTACAAACGTTGTAAATACATACAGAGTACGAAAAGTACAAACGTTGTAAATACATACAGAGTACGAAAAGTACAAAATTTGTAAATACATACAGAGTACGAAGTACAAACGTTGTAAATACATACAGAGTACGAAAAGTACAAACGTTGTAAATACATACAGAGTACGAAAAGTACAAACGTTGTAAATACATACAGAGTACGAAGTAGAAACGTTGTAAATACATACAGAGTACGAAGTAGAAACGTTGTAAATACATACAGAGTACGAAGTACAAGTGTTTTAAATACATACAGAGTACGAAGTACAAGTGTTGTAAATACATACAGAGTACGAAGTACAAGTGTTGTAAATACATACAGAGTACGAAGTACAAACGTTGTAAATACATACAGAGTACGAAGTACAAACGTTGTAAATACATACAGAGTACGAAGTACAAACGTTGTAAATACATACAGAGTACGAAGTACAAACGTTGTAAATACATACAGAGTACGAAGTAGAAATGTTGTAAATACATACAGAGTACGAAGTACAAATGTTGCACGGTGGAGGATAGACAACCATTGTTTTATGTACACCAAGTTTGTACATGGGAAGTTCCAAGAACAATTATTTATCTTATTGTCAATCACAGATATTAAAACAAGTTTACACCATTGAAAAGAAAACCATTTTATAACTTATAAAAAAAAGCACTGTTAGAACAGCCAACTTTCGTATACACGGTACTTTCTTTTTCTCATTACCTTCGTGTAACCCGTCGCTGGTACAACTACAATCAATACAAAAATGCGTTCTCCCTTATTAATTAAACGGAAGCAGCTATAACATTCGCTCATAACTTGTAAGAACAGTGTTTTAGCAGCCAGATGTAACCGAGGCATCAGTGAAAACCACCACAAAAGACTAGCAC